TGAAAGATTATCTGTGGAATATTACTGCCTCAGCATTTGCCTAAGTGATCCAAGGAAACCACAGAAAAACTTGGACCAAGGCAGACGGACCCGGAATCGAACCGGCGTCCTCCCGAATGCTAAGCAATGGTCTAGACCTCTAGGCCATGCCGCTCGGTTGGTTGGACAGGCACCTCCACTCTTTCCTATCCTGAGCTAATATTCGCATTCCCCCAAAACTAGAACAACCCACATCCTTAACTATTTGCGAACAGTAATCTAATCTAAATCTACCTCTACCCTTCCCAACTTCCGTTTCTGCTTCTGATTAGATCTTCATGCTTGAAAAGGTGTCCTACCAATTTATCTCGCCTATTTCTTATTGACTTATTATTTTCATCATCATAAGATCGTCAGTCCTAAGACTGGTTGGACACGTACCTCCACTCTTTCCTATCTTGAGCTAATCTTCGCATTTCCCTAAAACTAGAACAACCCACATGCTTAACTACTTGCGAACAGTAATCTAATCTAGGTCTACCTCTACCCTTCCCAACTTCCGTTTCTGCATCTAGTATGTCTCTGACTAGACCTTCATGCCTGAGAAAGTGTCCTACTAACCTATCTCGCCTATTTCTTATTTAAATTTTCAAACAGTCGCTTATGAAGGGGAAAACCCTACAGGTTTTGATTTCTAGATCAGTTATACGTAGGTACGAAGAAGTTTTCTCTAAAGAACTGTGTTAAATGCTTGACTTCCTTTTCAAAACTATGAGGCCATATGGCATAGACCTTATTAGTCTAACATCTTCAGCTATTTCTAAGAAACAAGACCATGCTAAAAAAGTCTGACACTGATGCGATCGTATACCTAATCGATTGAAAACATTACAGATTCAAACGGTTTATTAAATTCATGTAGCTTTTAAAAATATTCTTAGCAAGTTGCAGATCTCAGCTATTGAATACATTAACTGAGATTTAAAAGGGCAAACAGGTAGAGTTTTCCAAACCAGAATTAATGAACACATAAAATCTATTCTTAAAAGCAAAGTCTCTGTATGAGAGACTCGAACGATAAAATTGTTAATTCAGAGATTCGAGTTTCTCGTTCTGAAACTGGATACGAAATGAGGATCTCACTATGAGCAACTCGAGTCTTTCGTTCAGAGACGCTAAATAGTTTTCTTGACAGTTTCTCTCAGCGACACCAGAGAGACTCGATGAGAGACGGAGACTCGAGTCTCGCTTTCAGAGACTCTGAGAGACTTTTATCTCGGACAGTTACCCTTGATAATGATGAGGCCGATTGAAACAATATCTATCAAAGCAATTAGTACTAAAAACTGGTAAAACATTCCATACTGTTTTACTTAACTGTCATCCTATTCATATCATGTTTCACAAAAACCCTTGAAAGTTTAAATTTATAATTACATACATTGTTTTTTTTTTCTACTGTCTTGGCGCTGGCATTCATATTACGTACATTTATTTCAGAATAGCGTTTTCAACTACTTCGTTCCAGTTTCATGGATAATCCAAGCGGTTCTGAAAAGTATTAATCAGTCCTAAGAGAACTGCATAGTTCCCGTTGAATTAAAGTTAGAAAGATACGCTGTCGCTACTTGCAGTTACGAAAAGCGACAAGTTTTAAGTGAAGCAATTCGAAGCAGAAAACTAGCGGTAACTGAACCAGAAAGTACAAACAGTTGGATATATGGGAAGCAATTTTTATTCTGTAATGTAAATCCATGTGATTTCATTAAATAACCTATTTTTTAATGTTTTCTTTGATAATTAATTAAATAATAGAACAATAATAATAGGACGTCAAAGAGTAGACCCTAAAGGTGAAATCAGAAACCGTAAACCCTCATTCAATGACTTGAAAAAGAAGAATCCGTCGACATGATCAAAACGCTCAAAATCAATCGGTCAGTAATAAGCCAACATATCAACAAAATACTCGACGAAATTAAAAGAATAACGCCAAAATTTTACCAATTAACGGACGGACAGATCACCTTTGAACGTTGGTATTATTAATTATCAATTATGCATTAAAGAGAGCATTGTTTTTTGAACGAAGTGGTATCATTTGATGTGAGGTATGATTAGAAATCAATGAGTTATTTGGCTTTGAAATAACTCATTTATTCTGCCTATACATATCTGCTTTTTTTTGTCGTCTGGTTACGTATTATGTCACGATTATGATTTCCCTTGAACCACTGTATATTATACCAGGTATATTAATGAATGTTCGTTAAATATCACCCAAAAGAGATTCTTTCCTTAAAAATGTTACCTTCTCCTAAACATAAAATCTCGCGAGACACATACCGTATGTAAATGAACACATCGAAAAGAAAATTACATTGTATATCAAACAGAAACGTCTCCCTTTTATAAAGTGAAATTCTTTGTGAAAAAATCTTGTTATCGTCGAAAGCGATTTCCTTTCCGTGAATGCCCTGTCGGCAATTTCGCATATAAACTTATTGATTGGTACAAAAATGTCAATCTCACCATCTCAGCAACAGATTTAATGTATAAAATATTCTTAAGCACCCAGAAAATGTACCCAATCATTGATAGGAACGAAAATGAAATGTATTGGTTGATTTTAAATAAATATTAAATATTACTCTTTTTTGTTCAACATTACAACACTTTTCCAAAGATATTCAAGAACTTTAAGTGGAAAGCTTAAAAAATTCGCGATATACATATAAGTAGGTATGTACATTACATAGATTTATCCCAACATCTTCCTCCAAGTAAATAAATCATAATGGAAAACTTACATGAGGATCATCAAACTGAGTGCTCCCGCAAAGTTTTCGAAATTGCTTTTTTAAAGCTGACGTACATGTAGGATTAGATTTATTGAGGGGCTTGTTCGAAAACAGGTGCATATTCTCTCCATCTTCCTTTTCAGGACTATTACACGTTGCAGAACCATTTTCTTGAACCCCAGTTGTAGTCCTCGCACTACCACCCATCTGAAAACAATAAAAACAAAGAATGTACTTTCGAATGCTAATTTAAATACACCTAATATTATAAATAAACTCTAGTTAGAAGATAGAGCCCTAGCTCTGTTTCGATGTCCAAGATGCTATGGTTTAATCAAAACAGAAGACTTTGACGTAATGTAGGTAGAACTATACAATTGTAAAAATGCAGAAGAATGTAGAAAAGGAATTGATTATTTGAGACATACTTTTGGAGATGGGATAAAAAATAAATAAATGAAAGAGGTAAAAAAACAATTTGGTGATAAAGTGATTGTGGTTTAATTTAATGAAAACGTTTTGTAATATGGAATATGGTAAAGAAGAATGATGTAGTAATATAATGTAGATGAATAAATTTAGGTTAAATAAAGCATAAGGAGTACTACTTTTATCAAAACATAAAAATTTCTTTAAGTGTCTATCTTCCAAAAAATACTGTTGGAATTCTTTGCAGTTAAAATCTATATATTAGGCATCAAATTAAAATTGTAAAATCGTTTGTTAACGAAGATAGAGAGTTTCGCCATCCTGCGGTAAGCTTATAGATAATCAATAAACCATTTACATTCCCATCACACGAAATAAGGCTTGTGGTCCATAACGCTCAAATCTGCTATCAAAACTTTGCCGTAGGCATTTTTTACAATGTATTGCAGATTTTAACGATACACCATATAATATTCAATAAAATTACAAACTGCTACGTAGGTTTTGAATTTGAACGTTAAAAACCACTTGTGTGCTTTTAATAACCTTAACATCAGTGGATACAGGAACGAACGTGATGTATATATTTTTTTTTTATAAAAGACCTTATACAAGGATTTATCTAGACTGGCTTGCTGTCCTTTAGAAAGACAAAAATTTAGATCATTTTTCAATACAAAAACTCCTTTTTCAGCATCCTTTTTTACTTAGATTGTGTTTTGGATAACGACCATTAGGAAAAAGAAAAATTCTTTCTAAAAATAGTAACAGGTTTTCGTTAAAACGATTCAGAAAAATCTACCTCTGTTCATTCCACTCTCTTTAGTTGTACTTTCGTCGATTTATTAAATTTCGTTGTCCCTATCCAATTGTTACAAATTATCTCACTTCATTATAGAAATAACATCAAAGCGTTATTGCGTAATTCTGTTCAAATAATAACTGAACAATTAATTTTTTGGGTTTTTATGATTTTGTTAAAGATAGATTTAATTAATAAACAGCACATTATAAGCATGTTATAAATATAAACAAAAATATACTGCTTCCTTTTAATAGGTAGATATTAAAAATGTAAATATTTAC